GAGCAAGGCATTTTTCTTGCCACTCTGGGCTCTGCCCTAACTGTGAAACTAAGCTATAGCCACCCTTTCTGGTCACAGGAGATGAAAGTTTCCTTCTGCTCTGACAAGTGGTGTGACATCTATTCAACATGTAAACCTATGGATGAAAGGATTCCCAAGCCCTAAATAAACTGAAATTCAGCCTTACCCAGAGATCACAGCTTTCATGCTTAAAATCTCAAAACGGTTTCAGTGAAATAGAAGACATGTGTGCCAAGACACGTGTGTCAGGTTGTGCCAAGAAACTGGAAAGAACTTCTGAGGCACAAATGCCTGGCTGCTTGCCCTGCCACAGCACAAGGTGCTTCTTTGAGGGGAGAGCCACCTCTGAGCCCTCTCAGTAACCTTCATGTCCTGCCACACATGTCCAAGGTGGCCAGTCTGGGGTTAGCCTGGTTGGAGGAGCAGCTCACCCATGTCATTGTCCACCGTGTGTTGCAGCTCTCCGAGACCACAGCTGAATCCCACCTGATGGAGAAGGAGCTGGAGAAGCTGAAGCTCCACAGCCAGAGGAGGAAGTGAAGAGCAAGAGGAGAGTGGAGGACAGGGGCAGGTGGCTCTGAGCCTGGGCCAGGCCAGGCCAGGGCCTCCTGGCTGTGATGGTACTTTGCATAGGTACTTTCTTCCCTGGGACCTTGAGTGACAAGGTGCCTCCAGCACCGCCTGGTGCTGCCGGTACGACACAACACTGTTAATTAATGCTCACGTCGTTTTTCGGAGCATTTTGCCTTGCCACGTTCCCTCCCCGCAGCCCAGCGGCTGGTCCCCTCTTTCCTAAGGCAGCCTGGCTGCCGGTGATAGAGATTTGCCTCCAGGGGGGACATCCCTGCGCTTGAAAACGCGGGGAGACCCCCACAACGCCCCAAGGTCTCTACCTGCAGGAGAGCCTGGGGGCTTGTACAGTGTCACCGCTTGCCTTTGGCCAGTAGGATGCTGGAGTTGCTTGTTCTCGAGGGTTTTTCCGCCGTTCCATAAACATGTGCATTTCAAACCGGATTCTGCGGCTGTTTGTCACGCAAAGGGTGATGCTGGGGGAGGGGGGGCGGTGGGACCGGGGGGACCCCAGGAGCGGGGAGGCGGGCGCTCCTCCCGCCGCCAGGGGTCGCTGCCTCCCTGCAGCCCTGCGGGGGCGCCGTGTCTTTCTTCATCTTCAGGAGACATTACTGACTTTCTCTACTGTTTTTTCCTTTCTTACTTCCCCATCAAGGTTGTTGTGACATACATACATTGACAAAGAAATACATGTTCTTATATAAAACTGGCTTTATATGCTTTAACTTCATTGACTTTCTGATGGAAATACCAGTGACTTGTGGAGGCATAAGGAGGATCAGGCCACAAGTACAGGTTGAAACACCTGTCATCATTATTATTTAATGCACAACCCTCCTGTAATTTGAGTATTTAAAAATTATCCTTACCCATATTTATAATGCTGAAACCTTTCAGTACCCTATGAGACCACTACAGTATTACAATGCCATGAAGTGTAGGGTATTTTGAACTGAGGAAGACTGCAAAAGAAATTTATTCAGAGTTTTTCTAAAGGAATGTGTTACCATTTGATTAAATTATACCCATCATTATTTAAAATATGCTTTGACAAGATCTTCCTTTTTTTTTCACAGTTTATGCATATAGAACAGAGTATAGTGTAGTACAATTCAAATACTTCTTTTTCCTAAAATGTAAGTGTAGGACATAGTTTTAAATACAGATTTTTTAATTTATTTTTTTACTGGTTTTTATAATTTAGATACTGTTTAATCTCCAAGTAAGAATATAAGCAAAAGAATGAAAAAAAAAAAAAAACCAACCAAAAACCCTAGTTCTTGAGAATCAAAGAAATCTTTTTGCTTAGAAGTGATAGAGCAAGAATGAGCTTCAGACACCAATATTCTTTGCTATTTTAATAATTAATTTTGATGAACACATTGTTGTCACTTCAGTGCATGAAGGAATGCTGGGTTTGCTAGATGTTTTCCATTAAAAGAAACTTATTAGATTCCAGTATCTGGTAGCTGCAATTCTTTCATATACAAAGCATATGTTAACTATTCAAATTGCTGGACATAGGTGAGGAAACAGAAGGCTCTCAAAACTTCAGTCTGTCTTTTGGCCAGAGGTGTAAAGTACCTGTGCTGCAGTTCAATTGTCAGTCTTTCTGACAGCAGGCAGTTCAGAAGAATCCTTACAACAGGTTATCTCCTGCTTAGTTCATGTCTTGGGCAGTTGCATCTGTTCTGTCATTATTTACAGTTCAAAACATGTTTTTTTAAAGTTGCTGGTGTCTTTCTGTATAGTGGCATGAACATACTTCTACTCATCCCAAGGAAGTAAGAAGACACCGTAATTTAATTCCTATTTAAGGAATTCCTTGTCATCCAGGAAACCATCTGAAAACAGACTATCAGGAAACTGCCATCTGCAAGACTACAGGGAGCAATTGTTTTCACAAGTCACAGTAACCTTGGTCAGAAACAAGATTTTAACACTAGAGTTACTAGTCCTTATGGAAGAGACTACCCATCCTAGCTATTATTTAACAGAAGACTGAAAAGCCTTGTTTTGGAGCTCTTCTTCTCCTTGCTCCACATAACAATACTCTTGTGACATTAATGTACTCTTTAGCATTGTGTAACATTGCATCCAACTTCACTGCTCGCTTACAGCCTGGCAGGACCACCCAAGGCAGATGTGCCTGGTACATAAACAGTTGGTGAGTTGATGGTCCTAAGAATAAAGATGTATCTACCACCCTACACTTGGTGCGTCGGACTGGAGAGCAGGAAGCACAGTGCTAGCCTTCTGGCTTCTCCTTTACACATGATCCTTCTGTTGCAAATGCATTCTTTTCATAGTCATGTCAAAGTTATCAGGGAAACAGCAACTGTAAAACATTTCCATGTCTTTGCTATGCACAGGGGTCTTGCACAGGGCCTCTGTCATCCCGAGTGCTCATCTGTGTTTTGATATGATGTAAACTCAGCAAGAAAGAAGCTGCTTTCACCAACAGACTTTGTGGATCTGAGGTCTTCATCATTGTCCAGAACCTCACACACTATAGATTTGTTAGTGGAACGCACACTTTCTACTGTAGCAACAAGGACATGGAATACATCGTTAAATACCAGCTGTGATGAGATACTTATTATTTCATATTACTGAAATAAAACAAAATACTAGTAACTTTGAAAATCTTTAGGAGCAAAATGCCTACATGCAGTTCCAGTTATTAGCCAGCTTTTTGAATGATAACTTCATTTGAATGCACGACGACTTAAGTTAGTTCACCTACTAATTTGCATGTCACTATCACTGTTTAACATCCCTTAGCTGGTCAAACAGCCCTGGCTCAGGCAGGACGTCACTGTTTAGAATCTCTTTCTTAACATTTTGAAAAGCCATTGCACAGTGTCTATGTATCAGTTTTTTTCTATAATTTGATAATATTTGATTAAAAAAAAAAAAAGTACATGTGTAATACTTCTAGATTTGAGTTCTTTTGAAACATCTTTCCACCTTTTGCAAAGATTACAATAGATTCCATGAGAAGTTCAGACTGAAAAAAGCAAATGAAAAACCCCAAGCACTAAAGCACAAAGCAGAGAAGAATTGCACTGACATGTGAAATGTGTTAAAATTCTTCTTTGAATCAGTCATTTAGACATACAAAGATAATGATGATGATTACGATGACAATAATTATAATCAACTAAAATTTAAATTCATCCATTTTCTTCTATGCAAATACCAATTATATTTCTTTTCTTTAAATTGAATGTGACCATTGAAAGTAGTTATTCTTGCAAATCTTCCTAATAATCTGCCTCAACATTTACAATGGCATAGCATTCTTCTGCAGAGGGGGAAGAAAACCTCTCTTTTCTGACTGAACTGAAGGCTTGATGGAAGGACCTATATATGCTTGATAAACTAAGTCATACAGCAGCCTGAGAACATGAGGAGCTATGGCCCAGCCCTGCCTTTCCTTTCCTTAACCAAACAGAGGAGGCAGAGCCACTCACAAGGTGCTAAGTAGGTACAAAAAAGGGGAATGAAGATCGGGCTCGAATTGGTTCTCTGTTAGGGTTTCTAAGTTGTTTTAGGCACACAGGAGAAGTGAAGTATAATGGCTCAATCTCTTCCTCCCTCCCCCTAGAGAGTCTGGGTGCAAAATTGCTCTGAGAGTGACAGCTGCCCTTCTAGGAACAGTCAGATGTTTGGGAACAATGAGTAATTCTGCTGTTGGAGAGATTACCATACCATAGAACTCTGTTGTATGTATCACATGGATCTATGGTGGCAACCATCTGCTGGCAACCACCGCGCCTCAATCTTACCCTGAAGAAGATTATGCTAAGACTAAAAGTCTCCTAATTAGTACTATGCATTATGATTTGCTACATTCAATCCTAAAATTCTTACTCAGGCTACAACCAGATTTGACCTCCTATTGTTTTCATTTTATACATTCTCACTGTAAGGATGCATAAGCTGGAGAACATCCTATTACCAAGGCAATGGTGTTGAAATTCAAGTTTCAGATATGCTAGAATGCTCAACTGATCATTCCCTGAAAACAGATTAAAATGCAAACATCTTCTAAAAAAAACATTAAATACTTTAATACAGCTGACCCACATAATGTTTACAGTAGAAACATTAATTTCCTAGATATACACAGTTTAATTAAAATTTAATAAGTACAATGTGAATGTCTTCTTTCCGTACAAGAAAAACTGACATTTAAACGGAGTGCACTATGTTTGGATTAATGAAAAATACATGTTAAATCTTAAGTGTTCTTTCTGAATTCTCAAAAGCATCACTCCATATAGTCTGGCACCAATTTACAACTTCTGAAAGAAAAACAAGACCTATTCTCATTTCTGTGAGGCAAGCAGAGCATAATTATGAGCCCATGCAGGGGGGTTGGAACTAGATGATCTTTAAGGTACCTTCCAACACAAACCAGTCTGTGATGATTTTATTATAATCTCATTTCAAATTTCTTTAAAACTTCAGTGGAGCACAATTGTCTCTCTCTGGCTTTAAAATCTTAAACAGAATATTTAAAATACAAAACCTTATTGAACTGTAATGTTTGAGGGAAATGCTTAATATGGAGGCTTTTGGTGTATGTGACTTTAGTAGATGTATTTGCTAGAAGAGGTGATCACACATACTCCTGTTTCTGATGAACAAGACTGATGGCTGTAGAAGCTGATGGTTTCTTCCTAGTCACAGCCCTTTACAACTACATTTTTTCCCAAACTCACCCTTCTACAAGTGGCAGATATTTTCATATCTACTGTTTCAGAGGGAAATAGAGTGAGAGGCTCTGGCAGCTCTTGCCCTGGCTGTATCTACCTCAGATAACGTCTGGAAGTTTTCACCACTGAGCTGCAAAGCCTGAACTACATCTCTGCTCTTGCTCAGAGCTCTCTGTGGAGCACCAACAGGCCCAGCATGTTGAAACTGAGGCAAATTCAGCCTCAAACACAGACTTTCTCAAAGTGGGAATGATGTTTGCTTCCTCATTTTTATTTACCTGCTTGTATAATTTAAAATGGAGTTGTTATACTTCAGTTTCTTAGCTCACCGTTATCACTTGCTTTACCTGAAAATTGGTCCCTCCCTGTTATTCACTCCTAACTTTTAGATGTCTCTTGGATACAGTTTCATTTTTGAATCCTTGGTGACAAGTGTCTTCACAAGAATCCAAGCTTGCCAGAACTCATTTGAGCTGAGGCCTTCACAGTCTTTTGTTTATGGTTTCTCTGGTGAAGTCTAGGTAAAAATACTATATATGAGACACATCAATTCACCTAGCTTGATGGGCTACTTTCAACCCTTTTAATTATATGATAATATTTATAGTGAGTTACCTAAAGAAGCTTTATCAGTTTCAGAACTTAAATTCTTGGCTTATCCTCTCTTTTCTTTTCAGCCATGTGTCATTTATGATTTTCAAGACTGGAGAATACTACTGTTTAAAAAGAATACTTAAGAATTGTGTACTTCTCATTCTCCTCAAGTAAGAAATCACAGCTTTCCACTCTGTCCTTGGGCTTTTTGCTTCATGTGCTATATTGTTCATCTTGCGGACCAACTGCTCTTTTTTTCAATATTTGTATGGGCAGATTTTTAAATACATATATACAGTGAAATGAGGTAACTACTTCTATCTCATGGTGAAAGTGATGCACACTTCACCTCAACATTAATTATTGTTTGGTAATCAATCAGAAAAGACCATACTGTAGAGGTTGAGCTTTGCATGGTAAAACTTGTGTCATGAAGTAGGAGTATGTCCTAATGGCTCAAGAATCCCTATTCATAAACTGGTAACAAGTCAAAAGAGGTGAATAAAATAAATGCAATATATAAAAGAACAGGAACATTTCCAGAGAAAAGAAATCACTTTCTTACAGAGGTACAGTCTCCAGATGTGTTGGAAAAGGGACATTTTTCCTAAACCCTGAGAAGACAAGTCTGAAAACCTTTTACTGTGCAATAAAAACTGCTTCAAGTAATTTTGCAAATGAAATATGGCAGTAACTGAATACCATTAGACACACTCACCCATACTTACTTGCACAACTTTATATAATCTTTGTGGTCCTATATATCAAATCAGTTTCTTTTGTCTTTCATTTACTGGCCATTTTTGAAAGATCATAATTGACCAAGACTCTTAGATGCTGGAATAGTTAGGACACACAGCATTCAGCTCTGCTTTGTAACTTTTCTGCTTTTCATAGTGGCATAATTTCAGTAATTCTTCCCGATTTATATTTATGTCACTGAGATCAAATCTTGTTCTAACAGTGTAATTTTCAGCAGATAAGTAGAAGACACTGGTTATTAAAAGTCTATTTTTAAAATGCCAGGTTAATCACTTAGAACATGTAATTAAGCAAAACAAACATATTTTGATACATATACAAAACATATATATTCTATGAGAGTTTATAATTTAAGTCCTCACTGGCACAGGAAAGTTTCATCTATGTCTGTCCAAATATGTTTAAGTTCTTTTGCTTGCTCTCTCTTGTAACTTACCCTGCCTAAGTCCACAGCATTTCCCAAGCACATATTTGGCTCTGGTATCAGCCTCTTGATGACACTAAGCAGCAACTGCCTGCTGCCCATTCCTATACATCTGCGGTGTGGATATTCCACACTTCAAAACTATCTTGACATTAGCAGAAGAAAGCATTTTTACAGATCATGCACGTGGCCATTTTATTGACCAATCTTGAATTTGGGAGTTCTAATACTTGGAAGAACTGTTCAAATTTTCATTCATAGAATGATGACACAATGGTGATAAATTGCATATTCTTTTATTCATTTGAATGGGATTAACTGGCAATCTATATATAGTGTAGAGTCTGAAATAAGAGTGTTTTAAAGTTATGTGCAAACTTCTGCCAGAAATACCACTGTGTCCTCTCAGAGACCCTGCAGATACAGTAAAGAACACATTCCACTCCACCGGGGGATTGAAGGAATCATCTAAAAAAGGAGCATGTTCCTTTAAAAATGTACTGCATATAAACCCAAAAAATTGTCACAAACTATATGAATGTGGGCAAAGAAGTTGTAGTCCTTTGCTTAAGTATATTGCCATTATTTCTATTTCAAAAATAGTTCACACCATTCTGTCTTTATCTCAGTAGTCCTAAAAAGTACACTTTTTTAATCAAGAAAAAAATATATGATGAATGAAAACTAGGAAGGTAAAAGGCTGTTTTATAAACATGCTTAAAAGCCTCAAGCCTACCCCCCCTGTATAAAAATACATAGTAATAATAATTCCTGTGCTCTACTGAATGATTTTAGCCAGTGATACAGGCAACTGAGACAAGTAATCTAAGCAAATAAAAACCTGAGCTGACACCATCTCTTGCATATAATGCACCAGTAACTTGGGTTTGGGGCAATGTCAGTCAAGATACAGTCTGATTCTACCTCTTGTAGTTCTCTGGGTCTCCAATTCCTAGAGTTTTCCTCCACATGTCTCTAAGAGACAAGCAATAAAACCTGCAGCAGATTAGTCATCATCCTGGAGTCATCAGCTATTTTAAGCATTACAGATTAGCCTGTAGCATTCCAAATAATTAAAATTTTGGGCTCCTGCAAAGACCATCTCCTTCATCCTGCACTTCTGGAGTTCTAGGAGGCCTATAAAACTCATAGGCAATTTCTCATGAAGCTGCAGTGGAGACTTTTTCCATATTCTGCCAGTCATACTGGGCAGAGCAGCCTGATAAAAGCTGTGATCCTGTTTTTTTCTCTTCTGTGCTTATTTTGTACAAGAAAAGTTCTGACTGCAGTGAGAGAACTACAGAATTTTTTGCAGGATGTCATTAATTAAAGATTGGAAAAATAGACTTCATGCCTTGTGTGCTTACAGAAGTCGAGTGAAATGTAATTATCTCTCCTCATCTCTCTAAACAATCCTATAATTTACTCACATCTTAGTAGTCAAAGGGCAACTTCCAAATTAGTTCCAGTGCTAAATCCATAAATATGGATTTAATTATTCAGGGTGTTTAAAATATGTTTAGTTCACTGATCTACCAAAGTCAAGCTTACTGTATCAAAGGAATATTCATACTATTCATGGGAATTAAGTGTGCACATACAATTGAAAATTTGCAGCTTAGTCTAATTCTGGTAATAAAGCACAAGTAATGAATTGTATGGGCATGACTGGGGCTGAGCACTGCAACTTGGGACAGGAAGAGAAAAGCATTCACATCGTGGTAACAAAGAAGAGTATCAGAGTTTATAAGAAATTTGGGAACATACGTTTTTTTCCCAAACATGCTTGAATGTGGCTGTTTCTGTAATTAATGAACAGTCCAGTCTGTGCATGCTTGAGTGACTGACAGCTGAGTAACAGCAAACTCTATATGACAGCCTTGCACAACTTCAGCAACACACAAACATTTTCTTGCTGCCTGAACTAATGAGCCATTTGGTTAGGATAAATCAGGTTACTCAGTAGATGTTTCAAGCAGCTAATAGGCCTGATCCTGCTGCTGATCCTTATTCACACTGGTACTCGAGTAGAATTGAATTCTGTATCCACTGAGGGAATGAGAATGAATCATGAGATTTCACACGTGAAGTCACTGCAGGATAAAGAGACTAAATAACTTTTTAAAACCCATCGTCGTAGTGAATATGAAGTATTTGCTGTTTGGTTTTAAAGGATGAAATTTGTGATCAAATTATCTGAGACTAGATAGTGACATAACTAGAAACTCTATCATTCTAATGCTGATTCTTCCTGATTTTCTCTTAGGCTTCAGTGTTTCTACCTGGGAAAATAAAAACTCGTCATTTATGGGCTTTTGCTAGGATTACTGTATTTCCAAAATCCATTTTAATAAAGTTAGAGATTAACTGTAGAGACTTGAAAATAACAAAGGTAGTTCTGTGGATATGTGAAAATCCAAAATAGAGTTATCAAGCCAAACCCCATCTTTTTATACAAGAGATATTTTGATTTAAATAAAAGTAGGGAAGTTGCTTATAGAAAAGAATATTTAGCACTGCTAAAAGTGGAATCTTTACATTGATCTTTGCCTATCATTCTGAATTGTTATTGCTAAAAATGCTGTATGAATCTTCTGCAATATACAGGATTGTGATTTCATAAAATATAGAATTCCAAATGTATTTAATACCAGTGATTAAAAAATTACTTTCAGCCTTGGATGGGTGGAGGTGGAGGGGCTTTTGTCTGAGGAGAGGGAACACGGGGAAAGCCTCGCACCTGCAAACAGCAGCTCAGGCACCGGTTCTCACTCCTCACGTGCTTTCTCCTCCTCAGATTCTCCAGGGCGGCTCTGTGGATCGGGACCACCTCCTTCATGATTCTGGTTCTTCCTGTTGTCTTTGAAACTGAAAAACTGCAGATGGAGCAACAGCAGCAGCTGCAGCAGCGACCGGGGAGGAGGGGGGCGACCCGCATGGCCCTCCAGCGTTGGCTTGGGGTGCCCTCACCTCCTCCTGGCTACCAGCTGTGGGAGGAGCTTGGGGAAGAGGAAGAGCAGGGTTTGTTACACATTGTGGTTCATGGTGTGTTGTGGGTCATCCCACCAGGTGCTCTGGTCAGATGTTTCAATGGGATCATCTTGCAATTCCCAGGAACAATCCCATGGAAAACACCACCTGCTAAAATATGCATTGAGGCACACGTGGGCTTAACACAGCAACATTCAAGCCTGCCCCATATGCATTTGGAGGGGGGTTGAGCATTAAACTTAGCTTTTGTGGCAGCAGGAGAATCCATATTGTAAGCGCTGTGGCTCTCTGTGGTGTCCTGCTGAGTGGCTGCAGAGGGGAGGGGACACAGGGCAGTCCCTCCATGTCCTTGCAACCCCTGAGCTGTCTCTTTTCCTTCCAGATCCTCCTTGGACCCAACACAGGGCTCTCAGGGGGAATGCCAGGGGGCCTGCCACCACTGTCAGGAAAAATCTAAGTTGTGGGAGCTGCGTTGGATTCATATCATGTGGGGAAGACTTTGAGATGATGATTTACTGAACTGTTGATTTGTTGGGTCAGGGCATTTTATTTTATTTTTCCCCATTGGTTTTTATTTTTGGTTCTCCTCTGGGACATTGACCTGTTCATAACGTGTGTGTGTGTGAGGGGGATGACCCCCCCCGCCTCTGGACCTGATGAGAGCTCCTGTCTGCATCCTCCCCCCATGTAGAAGTCGCGATTCTTTCCTTTTACCCAATCACTTTGCCAGAGCCCCTCACAGACGTGAACTGGGGGAGTTCCTCTTCCCGCCTCCTCGTGCCCCCTACGCAACCACCCCCGGGCACAGGCTCCGACCAGGAGCCAATGGACAGCGGTGGTGGGAGGAAGAGGGACCTTCCCAGCAGGTGAAGCAAAGGAAGGAGGGGTGTGGGGAACTGTACCCTGTGGAGAAGGGGAACGCTCCCTGGGAAGGTGCGCGTGTGCAAACACTTTGCCGGCAACTCGGAGTGTGTGCGAGTGGCGAGGGAGCGGCAGGCCGGGTCACATCTGCGCTGACCCTCTGCCTCGTAAAGTACAACTTCAGATACCTGCTGCAGATTCTTTTGTATTGAATATTAAATAAATCCAACCTGAGCAGTGTGGTTTTAATAGATGTCCTTTAGGGAGGCTCAGTTCTTCCGGAGCTGTTGGCGGCTTTGTGGGTGGAGACCCTTCCATTTCACACATGGTCTGGCTATGGGTGAAGGAGCAGACACATGTATGTCACCTTCAGGTGGCTGAGGCAGCTTTGCATGGCTTACAAGAGCACTCAGAGGTGATTCTGCCTCAGCACCACTCACCAACTGTTGAGGTTGATAACTCCAGATCATTTTGTAACCAAAGAAAAAAAAATTTATTTTTCCTTTACATACTTTGTTACAGAACAATTCAGCTGAACATACAGAAGTGATAGGACATTTATATGGAAATGTGTTGGTTGTTTTTTTTTTCCATTTTTAGTATTTGGTTAAACAAAATACATCTCTGTAAACAAACCCAAGACCAGGCTCTAACAAAACCAAACAAGCAAGAAAACAAACGGGGGTTCCCCACTCCCAAGTGGTGGGACTGGACGGGCTTGCCTCTCCAGGGGTGTGATTCTACGCTTTCCCTTTACCTGAGCAGCTGGATCACACTTGTTGCCCCTCCCCCAAGGAAAAGGTGCTGACACAGAAGGAGAGGAAAGTAGCCTCAAAATACTTTAAAACATCTTTGCATATTGTGCACTGATCCATTGGCTTGCAGTTCCCATGCTAACAGGGGTTCTCCAAAGTGCGACTTCAATCAGCATAGAAAACATTGCTGTTGAGATTTATTTTTCCCCTCTTGAAGAAATGGCTTCAAGTCAGGAGCAGGATGCCTGCAGGCTGTGCATCCTGCCTGTAAAGTGTTTCAAAACTCCTCCAGCTGGTATTGGTCAGTGGAATGTGTTACGAAATAGGACTTTTTATAGAAACATCAGGTCTTTAAAACCAAAGAGCCATTTGCCCTTGGCTGTGGGAGGCTGTGCTCAGAAGGCTGCAAAAAGGTGCTTGCCAGGTGCCCTGGGGTGGGTGAACAGCATAATCCTGTTGCCATGCAGCTTCTGTTCTCTTAGGAAGGTGCATGTGGTGGTCTCTCAGCTTTGAGCATCCACTTAGGCATTTGCAGAGCTCTCCAGAGAAAAATAACCAAAAGAAGTTATTACAACCCCTTCTTTTGCAAGCTCAGATGCCAGTAATGAGACTTGCCTGCACGATGGAGCAGGATCCTTCAAGCTCCTTCACATCCCAGAGATTGTGGCTGAACTGAGACCATCCTGCATATAAAAAAGAGGGAAGCAAACTGCAGCTTGCCCAGGAAGCGCTGAATGTTTCAAAGTCTCATCTAAATTCAGCATTTCCTCCTCCTGCTGTGGAAGGCATGACTGAGCTACAGCTTGCCCCAGGGACAGGGAAACAGCTGATAGAGATGCCTCTTAACATCTCCGTGCCTAGTCACTCTTCCCCATGGAAAGGAGAGGAGGAAAAAGCAATCTGTCCATTAATGGAATGTGGGTTGGCTAACACTAACAGGGAGGTTGGTTCAACTGCCAGGCCAGGGTCTCTCTAATGCTCAAAGGCTCTGGTGGACCCTCTGCACGTCCCACGTTACCAGACAGTAACTACAAAAAGGCCCAAACCTGACTATTATAAAAGCTTTCCTCCTCAGCAGATTTTTCCTTTGTAACTTTTTCTCTTTCTGGGACATTTTGCACGACATCTGTGACTGTGGGCTAGACTTCTGGAAACTACAAGGGAATGAATTCCTCTCAAAACCCCTTAAGTTTTATTCCTGTCTCCGAGTAGCCCCTGAACAACTGGGTGATCATGCAGAAAACCAAAATAGATACTAAAAAAAAAAAAGAAAAAACTCAATGTAGCACAAAGATACCCACACAGACCTCAGCCTCTCTGCAGTCCAGAAACTTGATACTCCTCAATTAGCCTGCGCTTGCTGTCTCCACGTAGCCTCAGCCAGCCACGTGCTGCCCAACAACCACTCAGCACATACGTAAATCCCTGGAGACACTGGGGAAGAATCCTCTAGCTACCCAACAAAGTTCTTGAAAGATGACGCTGTTTTTATTACTGTTTTCTCATTCCTGGCACAAACCATCCCTAGGAAGCAGAGGGTTGTGCTGAGCACCGTACCATTCCTAGTGTTTTAGAGTGTCCTGAGAGACCCTAAGGAGTTGCAAACATCTTCACAACGACTTGTTTTGGAGGGACAGACTTGTGAAGAGGCAGCAGTGTGCTCCTCCTCAGCAAGCCCTGGAGGGAGCAGTGTCCCATCATGCTACCTTGAACAATGTGTGAAAAAGGAAGCCAGAGGCTTCCAGACACCCGAGCCCCAAAGCCCAGTTTCAAAGAGCACAATGCCTTCCAGCAAGCTGAAGGACACACAGCTCATCTGCCTTCCCAACTGAAGTGATTGCCTTCCAGTTTCCTTCACTCTGCCCTCAGTTCTTCCCCACCCAACACCCCCAATGTCCTACACCGTTGCCCTATTGCACCAAGGAAGGAAGAGAAGAGCCTAACGAAGGAAGTTCCAGATGAGGAGAGTCAGGGCACCATTATCCAGGTTTCAGACATTGGGAATTCAGTAAAGGGGAAGAGCTGTAGGTGGAGGACAGAGTCACTCTGGGTCACACATCAGCTCTCCAGCTCTGATGTGCTTCCACCTCCTCTGGCACCACCAGCAGGAGTTCACAGTTCTTTCCTCTCAGCTGGTGTTTCAAAAATTTCCTGTCGTGAAGAGAAACAGCAATAAGCACTACTGAATGTAGAACTTCATCACCTTGTACAACTAAACGTAACTAACTCTACTAACATTACAAGAAACGGCTGGGAAGCCCACACATGCCATCTTTAGTTATTTTCTGACCAAAAAAAAAAAGAGCCCAAATATTAAACTTCATTCTACACACCTCTAAACTAGCAAGTTACTGCAGAATAAGATAAGCATGGCTTTAACCTCAGCAGAGAGGTCCATATTGTTCAGGGAGGTTGTGGATGCCTCATTCCTGAAAGTGTTTGAAACCAGGTTGGATGGGACTTAGAGCAACCTGGTCTAGTGGGATGTGTCTCTGCCCATGGCAGGGGGGTTCAAACTAGATGATCTTTAAGATCCCTTCCAACCCTAACCGTTCTATGATTCTATGATATAGATACCACTTTCCAATTTTCCAAGGTGACAAAAATAGAATTAACTATTAACTCCAGTAATTATGAAAGTCAAATCCATGTTTTCTCTGCTATCTTCTGTCCCACATTTCCAAAATTCATCATATCAGAAGCTCTTATTAATTGCTGCAGAACAGCACAACCAGGATAAAATCCACCAGAAGTTCTGCACACCAGTTCCAGAACTGCATTCCTTTATCGCAGAAGTTAACAAAAGGCTGACACTGATTTCACCAAGACATTATGGGCACGGTAGGCTCTGCAAATACTACTGGTATGCAAGCCCCGCCTCACAACATGTTTAACTGAGGCAACAAAGTTGCTAGCAGCCTTTAGAACAGGATGGAAAGGAACCTGAGGGGCAACTACAAAGTAATTACACCAACCATCTTGTGTTAAAATTGAAGAGTGGAGTCAAGCCAGAAGCGCTTCCATAGGCAGGTGACTCCCAGCAAGCAGCTGCCACTGCTGCCAGGAATAAGGCTGCACTTCTCATCTGGAAAGCCTTTTGCTGGGCACACATGCACATAGATCACTACTAAAGAGGCAAAGGGATGCTGATAGTCTCAGATTGGAGGAGAGGGCGAGGTACTGCACATCTGGTTGCAGGTGTCACTCACTAATACCAGACTTGGCCTCTACCTTCATCATTAGTGACAAAGCCAGGCATGTGAGACACAAAGTCAGGCTCTCCTGAGCTCAGGGATCACCACTGACAAAAGTGTTTCCTGAGCTTCCCACAAATGGAGTATAAATTTAAGTACAGACACAAGAACTTTATTGCTATTTCAGTAGCAATCTTTGCTACTGAAGGTGGACCATTGTTTCAACCACCAACGCAGGACAGATTCCCCACCTCCAACAGGGCAGGGTTGTAGGAGGAACAGGATATAAAGAATCCTACCTGAGCTCACTTTCACCTCCAATCCACTCTGGTGCCTTGAGTTTGGAGTCGAGGTTGTAGTAGGTGCCTCCCACCTCCCGGACACAGATCCAGTGCTGTCGCTTCAGGGGGAGCTTTAAGGGGCCCCAGCAAAGGCTGGAGGGCAGGTTCATGATGAAGCCCATCACATTAGACAGGGCAATGACATTAACATCCCTGAAAGAGTTCAGAAAGTAAGAGAGCAGTAAGGTTATATTCTGGCACTTTTAACTTTGTATTTTTCTTGTTTTCACAAACAGAATGACACAGCTGCTCAGTACCTGCGTTTGTCCCACCAAACTGCCTCATAGCCTTTGGTCTGAAGTGCTG